AGAAAAGGCTGTGAAATCTAGGTTGAGCTACCATTGAAGCTGCATTGTGATTTGACAGTTGTATTCTTCCTGTTGCAGAAAAGTAAACTAGGATTTCACTTTGTTTCACTTAAGGCTTTGTATTGCATTCCAATCTTGTGTTGCAGCTTAAGTGTATTGTGTTAGGTGTATTGACACTTCATTGTATATGGTAGTGAGGCTTTACATCCTCACCCCATTGTTGATTAAGCTATTGAGAGTTTTGTGTGTCCAAGCAGGGTTGCTTAGGACAGGGGGAGTGCTGTGAGCACATTGGTGAGCTAGTGTGTAAGTACTAGTTGTGAAAACTAGTATCTATTCTTGTACTTGGGTGTGTGTAGAGAGTGAGACAGCTAAGTGTGTAACAAGGTACTTGCAGCTAGTGGATGATTTATTGGCTGAGGCCAAGAACCAAGGTTTTTCCCTATTGAGAGGGTTTCCTTGTATATCTTGTGTCATGTGCTTGATTTGTGTTGATTGGTTTTGTTAACTAAGAAGAAAAAGTTTAATTAGACCAATTCACCCCCCCCCTCTTAGTCCAACATATATATATATATATATATATCAATCCCATTCAGTTGCTCCCTGGTGTGCAAGAAGCAATATACGCGACTTCTATTTCAGTCGTTGGATTTCATCCAATGACTGAAATTGAAAACAACTATTTCAGTTGTTTCTGGTTTTTTAAGACTTCAAAACCACTCAATTTGAGTGTTTTAGATAAAATAAAACACCTTATAATAAGAAGGTATTAATAATGAAAAAATTAAACAAATGCTTCCACTAAAATCGTGAAGTCTTTCTATTATGGAAAAATAAAAAATAAAAAATATCATCGTACAAAATTTTTGACAGAAAACTTACATTTTTTTTTCTAGCTCTTTTCTCTATATTCATGTTCTGGTGAAAAAGTCTCTTTTCAAACAGTGCAAGTTTTGTTACTGCATACTTGGGTAAATTTCTTGTAGAGGTTAGTATCTCACTCAACATACTCCTTTCTCGATACATGACTATGAATAGCTTCATATGGGAGACATGATGCACACATGATGAATGAGTACTTTTTGTCAGAAAAAGAAAAGAATCCTTCTTTCTTTTTTGAGATTGACACTGATAAGAATGATAGAATCAATCGATGTTTTTGGGTTGATCCATATGCAAGGAAGGCGTATAACTTTTTTAATGATGTGGTTGTGTTTGATACGACATACAACACAAATCGTTATAGCATGATATTGGCTCCACTTACAGGAGTCAACCACCACGAAAAGACAATCATTTTTGGATGTGGTTTTTAAAGTGACGAGACTACTGAATCATTTGTTTGGTTATTTGAAACATGGCTCAAAGCAATGACAAAGGGTCTGCCAAATGTTATTATCACTGATCAAGACCCAAATGTTATTATCACTGATCAAGACCCTGCAATGCAAAGGCTATATCTCAAACTCTTCCCCACACCCTTCATAGATATTGATTCTGGCACATATTTAAAAAAAATTCCAGACAAGTTAGACTCAATAGTGTTCCGAGATCACTATTTCCTTTATCAAGCATCCATATGGAAATCGGAGACAACTGAAGAATTTGAAGAAAGCTGGAAAAATGCATTGGAAAAGAGTGGACAACAAGGTAATGATTGGTTGAGAACGATGTATGCATTACATGATAAGTGGGTTCTTGTACATGTCAGTAAGTTTTTTTCTGCTGGAATGTCTAGTAGCCAAAGAGTAGAAAGCGCACACTCATTCTTCAAGAAGTATTGCTCAAAAAATAATTCATTAATGGATTTTATTATAAGATTTAACAGAGCGTTAGGACACCTAAGACATGAAGAGGTGACTGATGATCATGTTGATGTCAATGAACAACCAAAATTGAGATCTAAAGTACCTATGGAGAAACAAATGATGGGTGTGTATACAAAACACTACTTCCATAAATTTCAATTTGAGCTTTATGCTAGTGATGAATATAGATTAACTATTTCAACAAAAAATGAAATTCAATGTTTTTAAGAGGCTAAGGTGGTAAATGGAGGCTCTGAAGTGCACCAAGTTGCGTATGATAAGATTAATGAAGAAGTTAAATGCACTTGCCAATCTTTTGAATTTGAAGGTATCCCATGCAAGCATAATTCAGCCTTTTTTAGAATAAAACAAATAATGTTTTTGCCTAAACATTATATAATGAAAAGATGGACAAAGTTTGCAAGGGTTGGAAGTGTAATAGATAAAGATGGTGTGGAGATTAAAGTTATGCAAGATAAGTCAGTTATGGTTAGGCGTACCAAATTATTGCAACTTGCATCGACTATAGTTGATGAAGTTGTTATCTTAGAAGAAAGGACTGAGCTACTGACAAAGACATTGGAAACCGTTTATGAACAACTTAAGGTTATGAATTCAAGCCAAGATGCTGAAAATAATGGGTTTGAAAAAGAGAAGTAATGGGACTTGCCTCAACAAAGAACTTTTAACGATCCCCTGCAAGTTAAAGCAAAAGGATGTGGTAAACGTCGGAGGTCATGGAGAGAGAAAGGAAAGTCAAAATTTAGGCATTGTCATGGTTGTGGCAAAGTTGGACAATCTCACGATAAAAAAAATTGTCCTAAACTTAACAATAGGTAAAATATTTTCTTTTTCAAATTATTATTCACTTACATTTTATTAAATAAATTTTGATATACATTGTTTTCTCTTTTACAGATCAACCATAAATACTGATGAGGATATTGCTTCTAAGTCTGAACATACTGATCATGATGCAAGTGGCTAAATTGTGTCAAAGATTTATATATTTTAAATTATTATTTTTTTAAAACATGTTTTCATCAATTTGTTTCAAAATAATTATGATTTTGTTTACTTTAAATATTTATGTATTCTTCTTTTTGTTATTATCACTTGTACAAAATAATTTAATATTATTTTATTTTTATTTAGGTATGTTGGAGGTGGAGAGAAGAAGATTGAAATTGTCCTTCGCTTTTTTTTTGGAGTTTTATTGGTGAAACATGTTAAAGACTGAAAAAAATTAGTATCAAGGCAAACCGGTTACAGGCTCGGTCACATGCACCCCACCCAAGTCCCTCTTTTGTTCCACCTTCTCAGCAGCTGAAGTTGCCATGCTTTATTTTGCATTCGTTGTTTGGATTTTTTACAAACTCTGCAATCAAGTTTTGAATATCGATCTAGCTTACTATCAAGTACATGAAACTCCTTAGTAATTACATTTAATTCTCTGTTTTTCAAAGCTTGTTTTTTAATAGAATTTTTAATAATTCTTCATTTAGTACTTGTATACCTTTTCAAGGTTGGATTTCTTTTTCATTTAATGGTCTTACTAAATTGACACTATTTTTGTAGTTTAAATCAATTGTATTTCAATAGTAAAAGGGCCTAATATCGAGGGCTAACTACTGGTGGTTACGTTTGTGTTTGGAAAATGCTGGCATTGAGGTTCACATTTGTTACCCATCATTTGTCTTGCTCAAAAACACTAGCCACTAGAGTTACTTACAAATTTTCTTCTGTACATATAGAGGAACATTTATAAATAAATAAAAAATGTCATTCATCCATCAATTAAGGTGGCCTTATTCAAATTACATTTCATCAAAATTTTAATAAAATTCTTAAAAAGATGCACTATTGTATTTAACTTTGTTGCTTAATTATAAAGTAACAAGTTGTAGTCAATTTATTTATTTATTTATTTTTTATTTTATTTGTTTTCTCTTCTTGGAGGACCCTTCTCTCTCCAAAATATCAACTTTTAAAGGAGGACTCTACCCAGTAGAACAAGAAGAGAGACTTTGCAATTTTTTTAAAAAAAAATTTCGTTAAGGTTTTTTTTTTTTTTTTTCCTCTCTCTCTCTCTCTCTCTCTCTCGTTAAGGAAGGTGTCAAAGGTTTTTTTCTCTCTCCTTTCATTTCGTTAGGGTCTATTTGGTTAGCAAGAACTAATTAGAAAAGAAAAATAAAAATATTTATGCGTTTGGTTAGATGGAAACTGAAATTTTTTAGGAAAGTAGGATTCTCGCTGTTATGAATTTTCCTTCTAGTATAAAACATACAAAAATTTACTTTCTCGTAAAACTTAGCCACTTTATATCTTAGTTTCCTCTTGTGCCCTTGTCAATTGTTTCTCCTCCCTCTTCTTCACTTTCTTAGTTTCTCCATGTTTCTCTCCTTGATTCTCTCCACTCTTCAATTTGTCACAAACTTATGTGGATTTCCTTCTGTAAATTGATATAATCCTAATTTAATTATTTTTATTTTTATATATGCATATAAAATTATTTATTTATTATTATTATTTTGGGTTCTATAATTAATAGTGATTGAGATCGAGTGATATACATACATGTGTTTTTTTTTTTATTGTTGGTGTTGTAGGCGATTGAGATTTTTAGTTTGATTGAAAACTTACGATCTCCAGATTTGGGTTTTACAATTGATTGAAAACTTACAATCTCCAAATTTGGGTTTTACAATTGTTGTGTCCGTTAAAGATACAATTTAGATATTAATAGAAATAATTATATTATTATTTTTAATAATATATTATTTTACTTTCCTTTTATTTTATTTTATACTGTTAAAAATGAATATAAACAATTAAGTATAAAGTGATTCATCAAACACAAATTTATTTTATTTTAAAATATTTAAATTCCTAAGAGTAATTTTGGTAATAGAATCATTTTATTTTCTTTTTCATCATATTCAAACTAACAAAATAATATTTTCTCTTAATTTTCTTGAAAAAATTTCCTCTGCACACTGGAATTTGATTTTCTTTTCCTTTACTTCACTTTCTTGAGGAATTTGATTTTTTTTTCCTTTACTTCACTTTCTTTAGGAATTTGATTTTTTTTTTCCTTTACTTCACTTTCTATCAAATTTCGGACCATAAGGAAAGTAGTTTTTTTTTTTTTTGTCAAGTTACTCCATTACTCCCACCCTTCTATATCTAAACGATTTTGGTAGAAATATTTATTTAATTTTTTCATTACTAATACCTCTTTATTATAAGGTATTTTATTTTATTTAAAACACTCAAATTGAGTTATTTTAGAGTCCTAAAAAACCAAAAACAACTAAAATAATTATTTTCAATTTCAGTCATTGAAAATAATCCAACGACTAAAATAGAAGTCACGTATATTACTTCCTACACACCAGAGAGCAACTAAACGGACTGCATACATGATTCTATTGGGATGTGGGGGGAGAAGGTGATGGCGGTGTGGAGGATACTGGTGATGGAGAGGAAGGAGGAACAGTGAGAAAATGAAAAAATATATAAATATTTTATTGGGTAACTGTTAGTGGGCAAAACAGTCAATTGTTATTTTTAGATATTTATGAACATTTTTTAAATATAATAATAAGGGTAGATGAGTAAATTCACCCATAAAATTGGACATTGGGAATCCTTGCCAAAAAATGTCAAACCGCTTGTTTAGTTGTAATTAGGCCAAACCAGGGAAGTTCATTGTAGACCCAATAGGAAAACAAAAATGAGAGAAATGTAGAGCAACAAAAAAAGAAACAGGACAAGGATATATGATCTCAATCAAATGGCTCCAACCTAACCGAGGCCGCCAGGAATGGTAACTGCTGATCTGCCGCCGTTCAAGTACTTGTTCTTGTAAACTGATTCCAAGCCAATCAGTCTATATATACATACATATACATCCCAAACGTTTTTAAGAACAAGAAATATCTGAAATTAACCAAATACAATTACGGCAAAATTTTGTAAAATACTAATCTGCCAAAAAAAAATTGTTTTGCAGGGACAACGGTATAGCTTGAACGCATCACATATTGCATCAAGGCGCTCCTTCGTATGTTCATCACGACTGTCCATTATCCATCTGCATATACCAACAAAATCAGCAACACTATAAAATATATAGTGACTCATATGTGGACTTGTCAAAATCAAAAAATCTCTAAATGAGCTCAGCCATCTGCAGAAGAGTAACAAACTAGATTGACTGATGAATGTAATCCAAATAATTTTTTCTTGGGTAAGAAATCGATTTAGTTCTACCAAGTATAAAGACCTCGTGCACAGCATACATAATATAAAGTTATATAACTCAGGAGCCAACTTGAAAGGGCAACTTCAGAAAAAGAGTATACTACCACAGGCCCATACTTGTGAATGATCATCTTCATTCTCTTAATTCTTTCTTGAACCCCAAAAGACAAGTTCTAGCACCCTAAACCATCTAATCTTTACTTTCCTTGCCACAGACATTATATAAAATAAATAGGATTGAGACACAAATCATACAACTAAGCCAAAACCTCTATTCAAAGAAAACTGCCTTTCAACAGCCTACTTCAAAATAGAAGTCCCTTCTGCTTTAGTTGTAGATAACAGATTCCTCTAAATTGTTGCTGAATAGACAAACAAGGTTTTGGGTTTTGAGTTCTGTACAGGACAGGCTTGACAGTTCCTTCCTTAAATCGATCCACTAGTAGGTAGCAGGTGGGATATTTTAAATTCTACGAGTTAACTGACAATGCCTATTCGGCCCAATCCACAACTAACCGTTTTCATAGTACTGTTGCCCATGGAGCACAAAGCCAGGTACGTTTTGTCAACCTCTACCATTTGTAACAGAATTTGTTGTTGTCATCATTCAAGTTTTCTTATCACAACTCAAAAAATGGAATAACAATCTGCTTAGCACGCATCTTCCTGGGAAATGGAGCATTTTAATAATGCAAACTGACAAAACCTTGATGACAAGGGAATACGAGATGCTAATCTGACAAAAGATGTTACTATATACAAACTTCAAAAGAAATTTATAAACATCATAAAAACCTAATGTTAACAATTGTATTGGTATTACATGCAGGGTGTTTTATAAATAAAGAAGAATTCAATAATGTCAGAGGACTAAGACCTTTACTCCCATCACCTAGTATTTGTGTTAGTTTTTGGATTATCTCCCAGTGATATACCCCATCAAACTTACCGTATAAGTGTGCATAACATGATGAATAGTAATAATGGCTATTCAGATACCGTGCACTACCTAAGGGACACCTATAAATGGATATGAGATCTACTAATTTTCTTTTGATAAGTAATAATTAAATAAAAAGGCGTTCAAGAGTGGAACGCGCCTCTTATACAAAAGTGGAACCGGGGTCTAAGGCCCCAAAGAATCCAAAAAAAATGATTAAATCATCGGAATGGGAACAAAACTTCCTCTTCACGTAACTGAAAAGAGAGCAAATCCAAAAAATGATTAAATAAGATTCCAACAGTCGCTCGCCATGGGACAATGCATGAGGATATGATCAACCGACTCACCGTCTTGTTTGCATAGGCAACACCAGTTAACAAAACAGTTACCCCTTTTCCTTAAATTATCGACCGTCAGAATCTTACCCCATACAGCGGTCCATACAAAGAATGCCACCTTAGTTGGAGCCATAGAACGCCAGATGGTCATCCACAGAAAATTAATGATATCAAAATTAGATAGACATAAGAATAAGGAACGAACTTCGACGCGACCATGGGAAGAGGGAATCCATGCCAAATCATCACTACCTCTGCCAGCTGCCTCCTATCAATACAGCAAATCCAGAAAAACACATACATCGTCCAACACTCAATCCTGAAAAGAACGCTGAATGTGTACGTCCCACGTAATCCCACTACTATCAAGCCGATAACAGTCAGCTACGTAGGCATGTCTATCAACTGCAATACGATATAATCTGGGAAATGTACGAGACAAAGGCTGGTCACCACACCAAAGATCCTCCCAGAAACGAACACATCTGCCATCACGAACTTTGAATCTGATGTGAGAAGAGAAAGCATCCCATCCCTTCCAAATGAATTTTCACGCCCCAACTCCTCCCACGAGAGAAACCGGACAGGTAGACCAGCCACCACTCTCTTCCCCATACTGGAATGAGACTAGCCTTTGTCAAAGGCGATGTCTTTCCCTCCCGTACATCCACATCCATTTACCCAAGAGACCTTGATTAAAGGGAACCAATCTTCTAATAACAATACCACCCAACTTCATGGGCTTGCAAACTTGTTCTCATCTGACAAGGTGATACTTAAACTCTTCGCCCTTTCCTCCCCAAAGGAAATCCCTTTGAATTTTTTCAATCCTAGCAAGAACAGAGCAAGGATTTTGGAACATACATAAAAAATATGTGGGAAGGCTCGATAAAGTGCTCTTAATAAGAGTAACTTCCCCCCCCCCCTCTCCCGGCGCGACAAGTATTGCTTCTTCCATCTTGCCAATCTCTTCACAAACCTATCAATCACAAGGTCCCAACTCCCCACTGTCCTAGAGGAAACCCCTAGAGGGAAACCCAAATACGGAATGGGAAAAGAACTCACCCTAAACCCAAGGACTGCAGCTAAAGAGGAGATATATCCTAAACATCCCCTACCGGGACAAGCACGCTTTTAGCCACGTTGACCTTAAGACCAAAAACACCCTGAAAACAGGCCAAGATGCACCTCAAATATCTAAGTTGAGACACATAAGCATCATAGAAAACCAGGGTGTAGTCCGCAAAAAGTAAATGAGAGATCTCCATCTGATGGACTAGATCTCTTCCCACCATAAAGCCCTTAATAAGACCAAGATTCTCTGCCCTTCGCATACGTCTGCTTAAACCCTCCATAACAATAAGAAAAAGGAAAGACGACAAAGGATCTCCTTGTCTTAAACCCTGAGTGCACCCAAAGAAACCCGCAGGAGACCCGTTCACAAGAACAGAGAACTTGACAGACGAAAGACGTGTCTCAATCCATTTCCTCCATCTACTTCCAAACCCCACTCTCTATAGCAAATATAGCAGGAAATTCCAATTCACATGATCATCCGCTTTCTCAATGTCAAGTTTGCATTAGACTCCGGAACACCATTTCGCAATCTAGAATCCACACATTCGCCTGCACTAAGAACTGAACCAAGAATTTGCCGTCCTACAAAAGCGTTCTATGAATCTGAAATAATCCCATCCATTACTTCCCTCATCCTAAGAGCAAGAACCTTAGCCATTAGCTTGTTTAGCTAATTGGTCTAAAGTCTTTAATGTCAGAAGCACCTCCCTTCTTAGGAATAAGGGCAATGAATGAGACATTTAGCGACTTCTCAAAGGCGTTTGTAGAATAAAACTCCTGAAATGTACCCATCACCTCGTTTCTCACAACCGCCCAACTTTCCATCAGAAGCCGCATAGTAAACCCATCAGGCCCCAGAGCTTTGTCCCCATTACAACTTGATAAAGCCTTTAGAACTTCATCTTCAGTAAAAGGAATCTCAAGCCCCTCTCTATCCAACTCAGAAATAGCCTCAAAATGGAGACCATCAAGTTTAGGTCTTCAAGCTAGCGGCTCGGTATAAAGCTTCTGATAAAAAGAAGCAATCCCATTTCGCACCTCTTCCTCCCTCCACAACTCCACACCTTCCACCCGAATTCGTCCCAATATGATTACTACTATGAGCATTAGCGAGTCTGTGAAAAAAAATTGTGTTACGATCTCCCTCCTTTAGCAAAAGAGCCTGGGATTTTTGTCGCCACGATATCTCCTCCATAGCAGCAATCTCAGCAAGAACTACCTGACAGGAGGCTCTTCTAGAACGTAATAAATCCACATCCCCACCCTCCTCTTCAAGCCAATCAATCTCAGAAAATTCAGCAAGGACACTATTCTTCCTCCATTCAAGATTCTTGAAAACATCCTTATTCCGCTTCTTAAGATCGAATTTGAGAGCCCTTAACTACGTAGTTTGTTATGAAAAACGCATCAAACCCAAATCAGAATCAAGAATCACGACAGAATAGTAAACACGCCACACTAAGACACAAAGATTTATACGTGATTCGGCAACAGCCTAAGTCCACGGTTGGGATCCGGCGAAAGTTTTCAGCCCCTCTCTGTTTATATACAATTTACAGAGACACTCTCAACATCCACTCCAAACCCTAAGCGCCCTTATATATTGGGCTACAAGAAAATAATTAGGGTCCACGACCCATGAGCAAAAACGGGTCAAAAAATTTTCAACGGGTCGTTGGGTTTTTGTGACCCGGCACCAAATTTGTGCCACAACATCACAGTTAACGTGAAGCTAGGCGAACCTATAACAAAAGCTCCTTCCCAACAAGACTGAACTTTCCCTTGGAAGTCCTCCGCTCCAGCCACATATTCTCAAATTGAAACGGGGACCTTCGAGAACACAAACCCCTACAATCCAAAACCAAAGGAACATGATCAGATGTGACCCTTGCTAAAACTGCTTGAACGACATTCGGGAATTTCTCTTCCCACTCCCCAGAAATCAAAATTTGATCTAGCCTTTAAAAAGTGACTGGGTCCTTGCCATTTGACCATGTATAGGCTGCGCCTTCTATTGGTAAATCAATAAGAAGATGCTCGTCGATGATGTCAAAAAACTAATCCATATCAGAAGACCTCCTTCCTCCTGTAGACCTCTCTAATGGGAATCTAACAGAATTGAAATCCCTACCCAAACACCAAGGAAGAGACCACAGTCCTTGAACATGACAAAGCTCCTCCCAGAAAAAAAAAAAAAAGGTCGATCATTATGAATAACCGGTCATAGACCTTAGTAAAAACCCATCTGAAATTGTCCTCTTCCAACTTGAACTTGCAGGACACAGAGAATCTCCCCACCCACACATCCATCCTAGACAACCATCTACAATCCCACATAACTAAAATTCCGCCAGAAGTACCTGTAGAATTCAAAGGCCTCCCATTCCACAAACCTTCCTCCCCACAAACTCCTAATCACCCCCATCAGAAATGGATGCCAACTTGGTTTCTTGCAAACAAACAACCTGGCCC